AAAAAAAAAAAAAAAAAAAAAAAAAAAAAAAAAAAAAAAACAAGAACCAATACAAAAAAAGTGCACAAGAAAACTGCAACCAACACACTTCAATGCTTCAAAGACTCACCTAACCACCATGCATCAGTTCATTGTTTTGAAAAGTCATGGATATGGGCAGGATTGGTTCATCCAAAAAGCACCATTTTCTCTGAGAGACTCCATTTTGGCCTTTTGCTATAACCAAAACAAAGAGCATTTTATATAACTTTTCACCTCCGAAGTTGATTAATTATTTATAGGGTGGAATGTTGATAGGCTAAGCAAGATCAGGCACCTTAATTGGCAGTGAGAATCCCTGGGTTAATTGGGAAAGTTTGAATTTAGAGGCAGTAATAAACATGTGTAAAAACATAGTAAATGGTTTTTCAAATAATGTAAAATAGTTGGTAGAAATAATGCTCAAATAATTGTACCGACTGTCTGCTGCCTTGGTCATTCACTCGATGCCGCCCTGGTCAAGAGCGCCAAACCCATATTGAACTCTCCAAATTTCCAGCAAAGTTCCTGTAATTTTATGGGCTGGAAATAGTTACTAATAAATAATTGGTCAAAAGCCAGAGATAAAGGACAAGGGTAAAGGATATTAATAATAACAAATTAAACAAGCATGTTAACTCCGCTGACCAATCAGTCAAGGCAGCATTGTGACGAAGAAGAAGCATTAAAACCTACAAGAAAGAAAATTTAGAGCAAGACTGCGTCGTACAGCTGAACATAAATGAGATTCTCGCCACATTTTTATCATCAAGACGGGTGCAACATTAATCTAATATGCTGGTTGGTGGGTGTGACAGATAATTTTTTAATACAATATGGTTCAATTTCAAAATAATGAATTGGGTCTACCTACTATAATTGAAGTGGCAACAAATCTATACACACGTTGATCTTTACAACATTTCTCTCCGGAGTTTATAAACAAAGAAGCTCCTAACATTTCCATATTCATTTGGGACTATCATGGATTTGTTGGCAAGGTTTGGTCTATCGCATCCCCAATGAAAGAATATCTACAAAATCTGCAAACAGCTTTATCAACAGAGCTCTTGATGTTCCAAAAAACCTCTGCCTGGCTGACCTTTGGTTGCAGTTTACACCTTAGAAAGCGTCTGTGCTATCTCCTAATATGGAGAGAGAAAATGGAGCAATAGCAACGTTAAATGATTGTTCTCCCACAATGTCGATGTACTTCATTTCATAGTCACCTTCCTGCACCACATTTAGTAAGAACTCAGGTTTACCACCCATTTTCATAATGCCAGAAAAGCATGAATTCACAAGTAAGATTAAGATCTAATTTATGATGTAAAAGTAAAAGAAATTAAACATTCTGTTTTTCCAATTAAGAAAAATTCCACTCATAAAATGAGCAGATGCGTAGAATTTGAAAGAAAACATGATGTGATATGCAATGTGAACGAGCAATTACCAAATGATAACAGTTTATTTAGCATGCAATTTCAAGAGAAATGCCTCGTGAGGCTTTTTCTTTTTCGTCTACCATGGATGTTCAGGCTTGTTAGACATTTCTGAGTTTAAAAAAATATCAAGAACTTACAGCTTCTTACCTTGTTAGACATAAATAAGAAAGAAAATAATATTGCATCATGGATGTCCCACTAAAAAGCAAAACAAAAAATTCCCAATGAAAGCGTGTTCGAAGTGTGCACTCCACATGTGAATTTATGAAAACAAGTTTGACTATAAATTTTACTCAACATGTTTAAGACAATACGTTATAGCAGTCCTTCTACTGGATCAGAAAAACTGAGATAATTACAAATGGAAAAAGAATATAAAAAACAAGAAGTTCATATAGGTAAATCGTTCTAACCATTCTACCATTAGCAGTAGTTAATGGGCATGCTGATGAATATTCAAAGCCAGTCTTGGGAAGTATAACTGGTTGTTCACCAATAACACCAACACCCCTGCAAAAATAAAAAACACGTCCAGGTTGAGCGGGGGAAGACCTTCACAGGCTTAATGCATCAAGGAGGAATGTATATAAGCAAGTCAAACTTACCGGACATTTTCTGTTTTCCCATTTGCATCAGTGATAATCCAATGTCTTCTGAGAAGTTGAACTGGCCGGTTTGAATTATTGGTTATTCTAATTCGATATGCAAAAAAGTACTGATTCTTCGAAGGCTGGCTTCGGCCTTCTATGTAAACACTCCTGACTTGTACCCTTATACCCTACATGATAGGAATGACATTAGAAGGGAATTAGTAGTATTATAGGGGTTTATTAGTAAATAATAGAGAGTTAGTCATTGTATTTGATTATGAATGGGGAAGTGGGAAAGGAGGAAGTTAAGCATTGATTCAGTTGGTTTAGGCCTGAGTGATTTCAAGATAGAAAGGATCCAAGTACCTCCAATTACTTGCGCGATCGTGTAGTTCTCTTATCTTTTATTTTGGTTCATAACACTACAGAATCAATCAAAATTATGTCTACTGTCAAGATTTTCATCTGCTCACACATGGAGATTCTAGCTTCTACACACTCCGTTTCTCTAATCAATTTATTCTGGAGGGAATGATTATCATTTTCTAATAGCGCATAGGATAGTATGTTTGATTCAGATAGCAAGAGGAAGTTACTTTTATAAATTGAAAAAACGGTATGTTATTTAATCCATCAATAACATTCATAAGAAGATAAAAAAATGTACCAAAGTTGTCGCATCACTTGCACACTTCAAAAGACTGTGAGGAGCAATTTCATTCAGATCATCACGATATTTAGCAGCATCCTGAAAATAAATTTTTTCAAATAGATAAATGCAAAAAGGTAGTGGTGAAAACATGGTATTACGAGATGTAATAAAGTTGTGGAGTCAGTCAAGGCTGCAGCCATCGACTTGTGCCAAGCTTGTACAGAAATTAATAAAATATATTTATCAAATTATTAACCCCAAGGGCCAAAACTGAAAAAGGCATATGTCCATCGGTTTTGAAGTCATTATACTTATCAGTCATTCATAGAACAGGGTGATAGGTGCCATTAGTCTATTTTATGTCTTCCTGTTGTCAGGATCAAACGAAATCAAAGCAACTAAATCAACCAGAGTATTATGAAGAACCCGAATAACAATTATGCAGTACTGAGTGCTCGAAGAACATTCTGTTATAGTCTACTCTCAAGTCTCAAGTAAAATGAAAATATTGTCAATGATGAAAGATTTCATAGTAGAATAGCATGGCAATACGTGACGAGATCTGGAACAATGTGTACCTCAAACCTCTCACTAGAAATAGCCTCCTTCATCAGTCTTCGAAGACGCAAAACTGGCTCTTCCTCTTCAAATAATTTCAACGAGTCACGTATCCTTGCAGCTTCTTCATAATCCTGGAGTTAGCAAGTGACATTCAGAGGAAAAATCCATAAACTGAACGTAGCATCTGAAAACGTTAGAATTACAATTGTTTCACCTACTAATCTAATGTAGTCTTTTGGGGAGGGGCCTTCAAGTTTCTAGAGGGCGCATCTAGTCAGATACTTGGACTTTTTCAGGCCATAAATTAAGGCCAAATGAGGGAACCAGTGAATGTCCAAGCATATTCAGATTGCAAAACATATTCCAGTCCTGATATTGCCTTTCCATTCAACCATATTTTACATGGAAAGCTACAGACAAAATAGAATCTACAACCGAGCAGACATGAGAGAACTCCAGCACATAGAAACAATAGAACACGAGGAAACGCATATCTGATCATAAACAAACATTTATAAATACAACAAAGCTCCTTAACCAGAAATCTCTGCGGAATCAATCTAACTAGCAATTAAAAGATGACCTAGAGGAAATACTCAATAATCCGATGCATCAACGAAAATTAAAGAGGAGAAACAGTTCATACTCCCATATCATTTTGGATACCTACTTAACTGATTCCACCAGACGAGTGAACTTCGCCAATTAGCTTAAACACGTTGATTTATGAGACTCATAGTTGTGAGAGAAAGAGAAAACAAGAGACAGACCTCGGACTTGGCGGCAACCTCCAATTGCTGCTTCAGTAGTGCATAAGTTTCACTGCGGGACAGAAACGAACGACTCCGACTCGTACTCGCACTCTGGCTCTGACTTCCTCCACCATCACCATTCCTCTCCGAAGCGCATGCTACAATCCTACAGTTTCTTCCAAATGCTCGACGACCTCCGAAACACCTCATCATCCCGACCTCCATTTCCGGAACACAAAAGCTTCCTCGTCCCGGTAAATTCATCCTCGACCCCGCATTAAAATCACCAAAAACCTTGAAGCTCAAAGAATGCATCCTCACCTCTTCTTCCGAAATCCTTCTGCAATTCTCGCTGTTCGAGATTCTCTGTTCTGATCAATGTAACACGAAGCGAGAACTGGAATCCTGTATGGCAGCGAAGATACTCTGTTCTTCAGCACATAACGATACTTGTACGCGCGTTATTAACTAA